TGGTATGATAAAAAATAAAAGTCAGAAAAGTTAGGGAGTTGTGGAGAGCCGTGATCTTCCACATCTCATCTTAAAGAGACATGGCTCATAGAAGAAGAGTGTATTTTTTTTTATTAAAGTAATGTATATAGAATATTTACAATTAAAGAGATCAATTACAAAAAATCCAACTGAATTCATAAGAGTTTTGGCACGAGAAAGAGGGGTTTCATGTATGACAGTCCAAAGAGCAGTGAAAAAACGTATGTGAAATCGTATGTGAAACCTGTGAGACATCTTGTTATTCCAGGACAGAAATTTAGAAGTTTAGATAGGGCGAATATCATCTTAAATAAGTTAGGAAATTATCCTGGAAAATATATATATATATATATATATATATATATATATATATATATATATATACACACACACACACACACACACACACACACACACACACACACACACATACCTATATATATTAACTTTATTTCAATACTTCATGAGTTTTCGATCCTTAGCTATGATTAATTAATGATGAACATGTCATTTTTTTATGAACCTGTAGATATTTTATTCTCATAGAACTCGCCATTGGCGTATTCATTTATGAAGTAAGATTTATCATGGAAATTCAAACAGAAAAAACCGTAAAACGCATAGGGGCAGATAGTTTCACTTCCCGACCTGTATACATACGTTAACCGTCCAAAGAATAGGAGTAGTTTTTTTTTCCTGTTAAGGACTGAGTTTCTTGTTCATTCTAATGTCTTCTTATTTTCATCAGTCCCGGTAACCCTTTGTATCTTAGCGGCTTTATCGCCTTGTTTAGGGTGAAATTATTAAAAAAAATGTTCACGGGTATTTCTAGTAAAGTTTATAGTTATTTACACTGTTTACACTGATATCCTCATCTTTATTGCCATATTCACAACTTTTCGACCATTGCACACTGCGGTCTTCTTTCGGTGATATATGTCGGGATTTCGAACAGAACCCTTTATTTAGTTCCCAGGGTTGGATTCTTCTCATTCCACAGGACATACCGTTTTCGGATATTTCAGTTTCAGATAATTCCTTTTATTAAATCAACTATCCATCTTTTTTTTTTGTTCCATCTACTGTGGGCATGTATTGAACTCACAACTCTTTGGTTCAACACAATTTTTTGAACACTCAGCCAACGCTTTTATCCACTTGGTGCGGTTCGAAATTTCAACGTATTATCACCTGAAGAAGATCGGGGCGTACAATGGTGGAAACTTCATGAATATGGCAATAAAAATGACGACAGGAAAATCCGAGCGATGTAATTAGTGTAATTAATCACAATAACTCATCTCAGAAATATAGACAGATCCTGAAGAAAACCGGATCGTGCAACGGCTGAAACGTCGTGAATATGACAATAAATATTAAGACAATAGCCAGAACGATGTACATAGCATAAATAGTTATAATACCACATCTCATAAATATAGACAAATCCTGAAGAAGGCCGGAACGTACAACAGCCGAAACGTCGTGTATACGGTTATGAAGATGAGGATAATAGTCGGAATGATATAAAGAGTGTAAACAGTTTCAATAGCTTACCATAAATATATAGACAGATGTTGAAGAAGGCCGGAACATACAATGGTCGAAGCGTTGTGTCTATGGCTATGAAGACGTGGACAACAGTCCGAACGACATAAATAGTGTAAGAAATACAGACAGATACTGAGGAAAGGCCGGGGTATTCAACGGCCAAAACTTCGTGAATATGACAATAAAGATGAGGACAACATTCTGAACGATGTAAATAGTGTATTTAGTTACTATATCTCAGCTCAGAAAAATAGACATATATAAAAATTAAAACTCAAGAAAAAGTAAAAATAAATATTGATTCTAACGCAGAAATAGTACAAAAACACATTACTTTTGAAATTCATTTTGTGTTAAATATAGAAACGCCAGGGAATGTAGAAGAAAATGGTCAGGATTTTTTTTTGCGAAACAGCGCCAAAAGAGAAGAGTTACATGTACAATTCTTTACCAGGAACCACCTACAGAAAAACAATCGTTAAGGAATGTTCTTCGCGCTTCTTGCACCGAATAAAGTTTTCGGTTCATTTTGGCTTCGTCCTGACCAATACTAAGTTAAAGCAACTGAGAACAACAAACAAATTCTTCTTGGAATTTGAAAGCAACCACAATCTGGGCATTTTTGGTAGCACCTTTAATTAATTCTTGCCCTCTGAATACAGCCACGCTCAGGATATATACTTCCTTTTTTTTCCCACTTTGTCAGTTGAAGTCTGAAGATAACACGAAAAGAAAAGAATTATAAAAGAAAAGAATAATAAAAGAAAATAATTTGGACGAATTTATTCGATTCGGCAATAAAAGCGGGTACACAAATAAATAAATAAATAAAAATGCTAGTTTTAGCTGCAGGTTTACTTGCCGAAACCATGGTGATTATATGAAAACGACTGGCTTCCACTTCCTGTTTTCCCACTGCTAAGATGGCTTCGTGATAAAACACCCAGTTCATGTTGAATAAACCGTTCTTGCTGGTCTGTGGTTTTGTAAACAGCTACAAAACGTGAACTAAGTGACCGTACGAGTCCTCTTCAGAAAGTCTGGTTGAATACATGACCAATAAGATACCCGTTCATTGTAGGCGTTCGACTGGATTGATTGATTTTTGTTTACGACTTATTAACGATTTTAGCAGGTTATTTATAGGCAGGACATATTTTGGGATTGTAAGACTGCTTCGGGGATGATTTACTGATGGAAGTCTGGCTATTTAAACCACAACCCCAGAGGGAAGGGTGGAGAAAGAAAGAAAAAGTGTTGTATTAATACCCTTTCCCAATGTTGTGTTCGTGTAAAGGAATTTAAGGGAAAACAAATCCCAGAAAAACAAGAACTGGAACCCGGCTGACCGATATCCAATTACCACATATTATGTATGACACTACACGCAAATCCAAACTTATAGCAACTAATATTCCTTAGCGGTCACCCGTCTAACCATGCTCGATGTTGCTTAACTATGGTGAACGTAAGAGAACAGGTGGCTCAGTATGTTATGGCTCTAAGGCTTATTACGACTGGAAGCAACAGAGAAGATGTTGATGAAAGAACACACAGGCACACATACACAGATATATATATATATATATATATATATATATATATATATATATATATATATATATATATAAATATAAAGTGTTCATATATGCAATCGTCAGGCCTGACGATTGCATATAGCATGAAACAGACTGTCGCCTAAGTGCTGACTTCTATGTTCACTTTTTATATTTACACACGCCTATCTCTGATATTGAGCACTTTATCCCATAAATATAGCACACCTTAAGACTATATTTTTTATATATATATATATATATATAAAGCATAATATATATTTTAAAATAATATCCATATTACAACCAAAAATGTTTGCGATTTCTCTCTTTTTTTAATATATTCTCTTTCCTCTCGTTGGAGAACTATAACCTTTCCCTTCACACACACATAGCACACACACACACATATATATGTGTGTGTGTGTTATATATATATATGTGTGTGTGTGTGTGTGTGTGTGTGTGTGTGTATTTGAAGGGAAGAGGTTATATATATCAGTTAAATATCAAATGCAGATCAAATATGGAACGGAATATGAATATATATATATATATATATATATATATATATATATATATATATATATATATATATATATATAGAGAGAGAGAGAGAGAGAGAGAGAGAAATAGATAGATAGATAGATAGATAGATAGATAGATAGATAGATAGATAGATAGATATATGTTGCTTAACTATGGTGACCGGAAAAGAACTGGTGGTTCAAAATGATATGGGCCTAAGGCTTATTACGACTGGAAGCAGCAGAGATGATATCGATGAAAGAACACACACACTTACACACATACACACTTACACACATACACATATATATGGAGTGTAGATAATGGATAGCGGCTCGGATTGTGGAATCGAGGAGCAGAGTTCGAATCCCCCGCGAATCCCTTACATTCACTTGCGTGACAATATCCTTGGGAAAGGTATGAATCCTCTTCTCCCTCCAGCTGTGGGTATATAGCAGGACAGACTGGGTTCTATAGCCTTGGATGGCAACTGGTCTAGGAGAAGGACAACTCTGAATTCAAAACCTGCGGAAGGTAGTTTGGGGACCTTGTGGCACTTAGTGCACCAGGTCTCTGTATTCAGCCCTTCAAAAAGTGTAGTTGGTTCTGCAGAAAACCTTCACCCCTATAATAAAATCTCATGTGCTGGTGTCTGGCTGTCTTTTCCTAGGAACTGATCTGCTTGACCCTTATACGTTGCAGGCGACGGGAGAGTCAATTATATATATATATATATATATATATATAAATTATATATATATATTGAGCACTTCGGAAAATGTCTTTGCTTATTTTGTCAAGAACGCATTGCCGTGATGAAGGTTTCAAATATTTAAAGATACGATGGAACTCATCATAACCATTGCAACAATTTCACCAGAAAGGTACGACACGTCGAATTTGCACGGCTGAGAAAAGATTTAACAATGCAGTCATTGTTTAGCACTGGAAAGAAAAAAGAAAAACTCATGCTAGCCCCGAGGTGTCAAAACTAATTGCAGAAAGGATAAGACATGTTAGTGATGGAGGCTTCTTCAACGAATGTATGTTGAAGGTAGTGGACTATTATTTTTTTTTTGTCCGGAAAAAAGAAATATTTTCTGTGATCAGTTTATTAGCAAAAACAATAACAAGAGAAACGGCAGCGAGTGTCAGAAGTGGCTTTTAGGACTTTAGGCTTTTCGGAAATTTCTAGAGTATTGATGAAACCACACATATGACGGGTATTGTCTTGTGATTGTGATGGGGGCTAACACCTACATTTGATATTGTGGAATAATTTATACAATTAATTCCTATGAAGGACACTAGTATTTAAGAAGATATTTTTGAAAGCCTGATCAAATGGATAACCGAAACGAATTCATTACAGCTTACTATGGCAACCAGAGATGGAGTACCAGCAATGATGGGAAAGAAAAAGGGGTTAGTTGCATTGCTTCAAGAAAACATTGGTATTGTGTTATACCGGAACGTACCTACTCTACGGCAAATAGACTCTCCCACCGATAAGTAGTAGTAGTAGTACTAGTAGTAGCAGTCGCCAGTGAAGCTCAGTGAGTTGTGTGAGTCAGTCGATGTCGGACCTTAAAGTATCAACCACCACAACTAGATTGCTGCGTCATTAACTATTATTTCAAGTTCCTAACGTTTTGTACATCGAACCTAATTTAGGACCGACTTAGTGAAATACAAGCCTCGACTGTGAAAACTACTCTACAACATATTGATCATAAACTAATAGGATTATCCATCAGGATGCATTATGTGAAACAAATCGAGGCAGAGTATAGCGAACTTGCATATTTTTGAAATGATCGATGGTTTAATCAAGAGAAAAAGCTAGAACAAGATAAACGCTGAGAAAAGAGGGGGACTTGTTTTTTGGAGAGCAAAAATAATTGTTACATTGACGATATAGAGTGGATTGTCCACTTAGAATTTTGGTCCACATCACAGCCCACATGGACATTATGGATCTTGAGCATCAAGGAAAGGACAAGGTTATATTTGAGATGTCTGGTAAAAGAACTGCTTCGACTGTGGGAATAACAAATAGAGAAAAGAAACTACTTTTAGTTTCCAAATCTCCAAAATCACAAAAGATACATAGGGTGTAACGGGTAAATTGTCGCCATTTTATATTTTAAATTTTGCGCATGCGCGTTGTTTCTCGATGCTGTTGACTGCACAGTATAGTAGGGTCTGTTGGACACCATTTCCAATTTACTCAGCCAAAAATTTAGAAACTGCATGCCGTACAGCAGGTTCTTCCCGCCGGGAAAACCCAGGACAAACATTTCAGAGTGGTTGGGTGCCAATCTGAGGATTCGTAAAGAGTTAAATGAGTTTAATGGTGATTATGAAGGTGTTTGGAGTGATCACTAGTGATGGCGACATTATTCTTCCATTCCAGGTTAATCATCAAACGGTTAATAATATTGTCAAGAAATTTAATGAAGAACGCCATTGTTGTGTGGAACAACATTCAGGAAGACCAGTGTGTGAGTGAACTATAAGGGCGTTCAATAGGGAAGTCATCAGAAACTGTTGTCAGAGTGTCAGACATGTCGTCACCTGCATGGAAATGTCCGCCATATGCAGCGAGATTGACTCTGAAAGAGTTTGGCTATCAAAGAAGATTTGCCAGAAAGAACCCCTTGATTTCAAAGGTTAACAGGAACAGGAGTATGGACTGGACGAGAGAATTCGAGAGCAAAGTTTATTAATTATGGCAGTCTGTAATTTGGTCAGATGAAAGTAAATTCTGCCAATATTCGATTGGTTTATGTTTGGAGAAATCAGAATGAGACTTGGAACACTGAATGTCTGCAGGCGACCGTGAAACATGGAGGGATCGGGAAAATGGTGTAGGGTGCAGTCTGGTTTGGAGGGAAAATCTGACCTGATTCTTGTCGACGAGCAGATGAATGATCCAAAATACTGTCAAATATTAGAGAAAGGACTACTCCCACTATTTGAAACCAATCAGATTAACAAAAATGTCGACCATTTTCAAGAAAATGGAGCGCCATGTCATACGAACAAAGTAACAAAGGCCTGGAATGAATCGCAAGGAATCAAGTTAATGCGATGGGTAGCCAATATAGCACGTTTAGGAGCACCTTCACCGAAAACTTCGAGAGCGTGCAGCCAAAATCACATCAGTGGCGACCCTTAAAGAAAGATTGTTAAAGGAGTCGCAAAATATGGATCAGACCATTGTTGATAACTTGATCAAATCCATAAAAACATAAATACAAGCACTGAAACTAGCAAATAGAGGACCTCCTTCATAGTAGTTCCAAATACTGTTTATTTATGTTGAATAGGGATTACGTAAGTAAATTTTGAAATTGAATGTAATTTATTTTCTCTTGGCTAAAAAGTTTTCTTACGTCACTATATAATAAATACTTTGCTGCAACCTGCTTTTCTGCCAGCAGGAAAACTTCGATTGTTGCTTCAGTTTTTAAGAACTCTGGTGAAACTTCAGATCTATTCAACTATCGGCCCTTCAGCCTTCTACCTATTTTGGGGAAACACATAGAGACCTAATTTGTGCTGAATTGGTTTATCGCCTTTCATCACAAGACCCTTTTCTCAGAAAAGCAATATGGTTTTCATTTCTCTGGGTCAACTGCTGATGTACTAACGATAATTGCGGGAAAGGTCTGTCGTGCTCCAGATAAAAAACGGGCTGTATCATTGGAGATCTTGAAAGCTTTTGACAGAGTCTGTCATTCAGGTCATCTCCACAAGCTGAAGGACACCTCGACGTGGTGTAATGGTTAGAAAGCTTGTCAATTACAACTGAGTAACGAGTACGATCCTCACTGAGTGCTTCCATACTTTCGGCATTGTGTCCCATCTAAGCGGTGCTTAGAAAATCACTAGAGCGTGGAAATTCCTCTCTTGAGGAGTATACACATTCGGATACTTACCTGGCCCAGGGATCCATCCCTGTGCTGGTGGTATTACGACTAGTTTGGACCGGATCTGACGAGGTTTGACCAGCTCTGACAAGCCAAGACCAGCTATGACTAGCTTAGACCAGCTCTGATCAGCTTTGACAAGCCAGGATCAGCTAAGACCAACTTTGAGCAGCGGCCTGAGTAAAAACACTCGGGTCCCCACGTTAAAAACTGACCTTATGTCACAACTTTGTCAGTGAGGGGTCAAGTAAATCTCCTTCTCCACAAGCTGAAAAGTATCGGTATCTCCGGGCACTTTTTTGAGCTGATCCTGTCTTTCCATTCAAATGGTGAAATGAAAATTATCCTGAACGGCCACTCGTCTACATCATTTCGTACTAACGCGGGTGTTCCCCCAGAGCTCCATCCTTGGTTTTACGCTGTTTTTAATCACTATTAAAGACATTGCCGATGACATCAGCTCTCAACATGGAATCTACGCTGACGACCCTGCCATTTACTGCTGCCTCAATAGTAAGGCTGATCAGCCAGTCAAGGTCAAAATGGAAGCTGATGGACAAAACGAGCGTTAACATTGTTGTTAACTGGGGTAAAAATGGCTTCTCAGTTTTAACGCCCCCAAAATTAAAGTTCTCTTTATTCATCAACTGGGGTACCCCTCTGTACCTTCCATCATCATAGCTGATACTATCCTCCAAGAGAATGACTCATTGCCTCTCGTCGGGCTAACGTTCTCAGCAGACATGAAATGGAAAGACTATATTGAATCTATTGCTAGGTCAGCTGCTAAGAAAGTCGGTTCACTGTGTCAAGCGAGACAATTCTTATCTCCAGAAGTTATCAGAACCATATCTATAAGTCCACCATTCGTTCATGCTTAGAATATTGCTGCCATATATGGTTCGGTGCCTTTTCTATTTACCTGGAGCTCCAGGATAAGATCTAAAGAAGAATCGGCAATATTATTGGTCCTGATCTGGCGGCTCGGCTTCATTCACTGGCCCACCACCGTAAGGTTGACTTTCTGCGCTTTTTTTTATGAATACTTTTATAGTCATTATTCGGAAGATTTCCTCGCTCTGGTAACTAGACTGAATGAATTTAAGCACAGCACTAGACTGGCGTCGATATTCCATCAATGTACAGTTAAGCTAGCTAGATGTAGCCGTACCTTATATGCTGAAGGTTTCTTTGCTCGCACTTCTCGTCTTTGGAACTCCCTTCCGGTTCCATGCTATCTAGCCATTTTTAATCTGCAAAAATTTAAATGCAATGTCAATTGCTATCTATTGATCACCTGATTACTCTTTTCCCTTTCTGCTCATCATTAATGTTTCTGTTCTTAAATCTTACATACCCTGTAACCCCTTGTGTCTTAGTGGCTTTGCTGCCTTACTTGTGGAACTCCCTTGCGGCTCCATGCTTTTCAGCCAGCTTTAATCTACAAAAATTTAAATGCAATGCCAATTGCTATCTAATGTCCCGCTGATTACTCTTTCCGCTTCCCGCTCATTACTAATGTTTCTGTTCGTCATTCCCCCACACTCTTTAATCCCTTGTGTATTAGTGGCTATACTGCTTTGATGGTATGACACCGATTAAACACATACACACACATACACACACGTATATATATATATATATATATATATATATATATATATATATATATATATATATATATATATAATGCAAGTAAAATGCTTGTCACTTGTCTGATTGATGTTACATCAGCATCCTGACGCCAGGGTTTTGTAGAAGGACTCTCTGGGAGTCACTCAGTCCACTCCCCAGGGGTTATTAGCAAATGAAAATTAAGTAGAGTTTTGAAGAGTGAAAATTTTCGAAACTAATACGTGACTTCCGTTAAGCATTGTGGACTTTATTGTTTCTGAGTCAGTAAGTTATTACTTCTGATAAATATCGGTCACTTTATTGACGGATTATCTGTTCAACATGTTTTACATTGAATTATATAAGTTTATGTATATCGATACGGAGTATTGATATCATTATATATATATATATATATATATATATATATATATATATATATATATATATATATTATAAATTAATTGATTTGAAATGTGTTTTTCTTCGCTACACAGTTCTAACCATGTTTCAAAAATGGAAGCTGAAAGCTCCGAATTTAATTTTGTAATTAAATTAAAGACATTAGTTCCATTTCATTCTCAAGCTAATTTTGGAGTAACTTTTAAAATTATTGGGTTTTAAAATTAAAATTAAATTCGGAGCTTTCAGCTTCCATTTTTGAAACATGGTTAGAACTGTGTAGCGAAAAAAAAACATATTTTAAATCAAGTAATTTATAATATTAATGCTCTGTAAATTTACATTGAGCACTATTTTGTAAAAATAAAAATATCTATAAGAACAACGGATTATATATCTTACTGTTCTTTCTTTATATATATATATATATATATATATATATATATATAAGTTTGAACGTGCGCATTTTGAGCATGAGACCCGAATTCGAATCACACCATGTTCGATTTGTTAATGAAGGTTTGCTATCGACTTAAGGGGTCGATCCCAGCGTGTGGCACCTTAGGTAAGTGAAAAAAAGTGATCTAAGACTTGAATGAGGTTCTACTGAGTGAGATGCACATAACCCCGACGATCGTATTGAACATCATCTCTAAATTTGACACCCATAAGGCTAGTGGTGGGGACGCGATACCGGCCATTGTCCTGAAGAAATGTGCTCCTGAATTGGCCTCTGTCCTCTCTAAACTTTACAACTCCCGCCTCACCGACTCTTGCCTTTCAGCCTGCTGGAAGTCCTCATATGTTGTGCCTGTCTTTAAAAACTCTGGTGACCCTTCTGATCTGTCTAACTACCGTCCTATCAGTTTCCTACCGCTCTTCGGTAAGGTCTTCTAGGCTTTAATCAACGCAGAAGTGATTAAGCACCTTACTCCACATAATTTGCTCTCTGACAAGTTATATGCTTTCCGTTTTGCCAGATCTACCGCTGATGTGCTCACGGGCATAACTGAATTTGTATACAAACCGCTCACCAATAATGGAGAAAGCTCGATCCATGGCTCTAGATATCTCTAAAGCGTTTGATAGGGTTTGATATGCTGGCCTTCTTCGTAAGCTTCAGGGATACGATATTATAGGACGGTTATTTGACTTAATACAATCATTTTCGACAAACCGTGAAAAGAAGGTCGTCCTCCGCGGGTTCTCCCTCGGCTCCTTTATCACGAACGCTGGTGTTCCCCAAGGATCTATCTTGTGCCCTATATTGTTCCTGATCTTCATCAATTACCTTCCCGGTGTCATTCGTTTCCAAGTTGGCCGCTACGCGGACGACATTACTATTTACTCCTGCCTCAGTCGTAAATCTAGTACCGTTGATAAAACTAACCTGGCTGCTGATTTCGAAAAAGACCTCCAATCTGTGGTTGACAGGGGCAGGAAATGGCTTGTAATCTTTAAAAACTCCCCCCACCCCCCCAAAAAAAAACCTGCTCTCCTTTACCCACCACAGAGATCTCTCCCTGACTCGCAGTATTGTCAGTCGCACAAAAACGCAACGCCGGAAATGAGTAAAAAACGCTACTGCGATTGAGTTAAGTTCCGACCACTTGATCAAAAGACCGCTTCGTGGGATATTGACTGTGAGAATTTGTTTAATCGAATTCGCCCCAAGCAAGGCAGTAAAGCCACTAAGACACAAAGAGTTACCGGGTGTGGAAGGATTAGAAAACAGAAATATTACTAAGGAATGAGAACAAAAGAAATAATATGGGAGACAGTAGATAGCGATTGACGTTGCATTTAATTTTTTAAGATTAAAGTTGGCGGGTAAGCATGGAGGCAGAAGAGAATTCTACAAGCGAGAAGTGCGAGAAAATTGAAGAAATCTCGTCACTAGTCTAGTACAGCGCTTAAATTCATAATGCCTAGGTACCATAGTGAAGTGATCATCCGAATAATTACCATGAAAGCATTTATAGGAAAGGCACAGAGAAGCAACCTAACGGCGGGGAGTAAGTGACTGAAGCCGAGCCGCCAGATTAAGACTGATAATATTGCTGATTCTTCTTTGGCATTTATCAAGGAGCTCAAGTTAAATAGACCATTTAGACAGCAATTTTCTAAGCATGGACAAATGGTAGACTTATAGATATGTAAGATAGATTCCGAAGAGATAAACTGTCTAGCACGACACAGTGAATCAACTTTCTTCCTTCAGAGATGGTGCACCAGAGCTTTTGTTTCTTTGTTCTTGGGTATCTTTCTTGATCACACCCAAAGCTTCAGCCACAAAAAGAAAGAGTTTTTAATTGCCATTTTTTTCCTATATCCATATACTTGTCTTTGTATTTGCTCAGTTTGCTTTTTATATTCTTTTAAGCAAGTTAGTTTACATTTTCTGGCTTGGGCGCTCTTGGAGCCAACGGAGCGTTTTAGCCACTAAACACCAATAGATAGTTATTCGCGGACGAGGGGCCAAAGGCGTTTTAGATTTTAAATAGTTAGGCTACTTGACTCCCCGTCCCCGAAATAGTTCAGGTTTTTATATCATTTAGCAAGAAAGCTGTCATTAACTGGGTTTCGAACCCACGTGGCCAACTGATTTGAGTTAATACGATCCCCCAGCAACAGAACATCGAAGCTTGCTCTGTTGGTTTTGTTTTTCCGAAACACTAAACGTCTGCGATATCGCAATCACAAATTTGTCAAGGTATTTGGCTTTTTTTTTTGTTTGTATTAAGACCGGTTACTGAGTTAGTGAGGGAATGCATGTCTGTAAGTTAAGGTGAACGTATCTTAATATGGCATTTAGCTTCGCGTGGGGAGATTGATTTTTTTTTTGTGACTTTTGAAGGGAAGCAACTTACCATAATATCAAAGAATCCTTGTCGTTGTATTTGCTTTCTTTATCAAAAGCCTTCTCAGAGATGATTTTTTCACTTGGTACGCTCATGTCTGTGACCAAATATTTTTTTTTCTTTTCTGTCTTTGATATTAATACCCGTGAAGTTTCCTTGTATTGTTCGATCTGTTTTGATAGAAAAAATCGCAGAGGCTGATACAATCTTGTTATATAGTGTGCGAAAAGTTTTTTCTTCCTCCGTATTAATTCGAATCCTCGGTCGCCAAAGTTGTTATAGAGTAGTTTCACAGTGGAGGCTTGTATTTCACTAAGTCGGTCCTTAAATAGGTTCGACGTACAAAATTTGATATAATAGTTAATGACGCAGCAATCTAGTTGTGGTGGTTGATACTTTAATGTCCGACATCGACTGACTCACACAACTCACTGAGCGGTATTTATTCACCCCCCCCACGAGGGCATCATGTGGCACAAGGCTGGTTTTAACGTGGGATCTCCGAGTCCGTGGGCTAGGCCAAAAATATGCCCTTTGAACCCGTATAAACGGATTCAGGGTCGGTTTATCTCCCCGAAAGAGAATCCGCCCTTCGGCGTAGCCTCTTTCGGGTTCCTCCCCGCCCAAAGGAAGAGAGTTCAACCGGTCAGCTGGTCGTCCGACTTCAGATTGAACTCAGACTATCTCGTTGAACTCCCTGGCGACTGCTACTACTATTACTTATTATAGGTGGGATAGTCTATTAACTATAGAATAAGTGTGTTCCAGTATACCAAATCTGCATTATCAACGACAGATTCCGGATGATGTTCCTACCAGTTTGCAGTTGTTTTTACCTCATAATGACAACAAATATTCCAATGCATATACAGACCTACACTGTCATGGCGGTTTTTACCCTCATTGAGTGGAAGTATTGTGTACCCTGAGTTAAAGCGATCAAGAGATTCAATGAAATGATCAGGGAAATTACATTTTGGACCCGTATTATTATTATTATTATTATTATATTTCCTTTGATTTCTGGTGTGTACTCATTTCTTTCCGGGTCCCGCCCAGGGACCTAAGGTTAGAAATGGCATCATGACACTTTCCACTGGCAAAAAAAAAAAAATACATAGATAAAGCCCTTCATAAACTGTGGGCTGTACTTGTCAGAACATATTTTTGTATCTCTTTGAGGCATGGACTTCCAGGAATCCCTTCAATTAGTCTATTGGAATCTTTTCCAATCAATCCTAGGGCTACAACTACAACAGGGATTGTTGATGTTCCCATGTGCCACATTTTTGAGATTTTGATTTCAAGGACCTTGTATTTTGACAGCTTTTTGAATATCTTCAAAGATACATTGCAGTCAGCAGGGACTGCCATATCAATAAGGAGGCACTTTTTTTTTGTTTGTGGTCTTTAATAACAATATCTGGGCGGTTGGCTTTCATTGTTCTGTCAGTGTGTATTATGTAGTCCCATAGAATTGTAACAGGTCCTATCTCCGTAACCGGGTCTGGGTGGTGTTTATACCATTTTCTTTCAGTTTCCTTCCTGTATTATTATTATTATTATTATTATTATTATTATTTCCTTTAGTTTCTGGTGTGTACACATTTCTTTCCGGATTTCGCCTAGAGACCTAATTTCAGCTATTTCAAAGAACCCAAAAAAGAAATCAAAAGAAAATGCAAGGGACCAAATGCCGAAAAGATGACACCAATGCTTGCTAACAAGAAATTACCAAGCATGATACTGAAAAAAATATGTTCATTCGAAATGCAGATTCTGTGATAAATATCCAGAAACAACTGACCATCTTGTATCAGGTTGCACAGTGTTAGCACCAAGTGAATATAAAACTCGGCATGATAGAATGGGCCAATATCTGCACTGGAAAATATGCAACTTTAAGAGCAAGAATAAAACCTTCAGTTTCAGCTTTTAAACGTGTTCTATGGACAACTGATCGGTACGGAGTTTGTCAACATCAGCTTGTTTGGTACCTGCAGGGCATGGAACATGAGGAAGCTTATGTTGTCATCTTTTCGGCATTTGGTCCCTTGCATTTTCTTTTGATTTCTTTTTTGGGTTCTTTGACACTGCAGTAATTGCATTAGGATTTACTTTCAATTCTTCTTCAACCCACTTGAAATAGCATTTTGAATTTGTTGGTCTTCTTTAATGCTTTACACAGTTTCATATTTCTTTCGAGTTCTTTGAGAAATATCATCATCCTGTCGTCTGCAGTTCCCAGTTAACTTCGAAGAGCGGAAATTGTCGTTTTCTATGGCAGTTGACAGTTCGTTTTTTTTACTTTTATCATTCCTATTTGCTTTTTTTTCTCCCCCTTTTTTTTTAGTTTAAATCGTTTTCGTTGCTTAGACCTTTCTTTCTTTCTTTCTTTCGTTTTCTTTCTTTCTTTGTTTTTTCTATCTATCTATCTATCTATCTATCTATCTATCTATCTATCTATCTATCCTTTTTTTTCTTTTTTCTATCTATGTATCTTTCTCATTTTTTCTTTCCTTTTTCTATCTATTTTTCTTTCTTTCTTTCATTATTTCTGCTATGTCCCGGAAAGGGATATATTTGTTCGAAGTAGCAAAGTGGTTGTTGACTACTGTAACCGGGTAGGCCAATCTAGCAGGTAACCGTAATGGACTGGTCCTCGTCGTAGTGGTAGGCAATAGACGTTAGACGTACTCAATAGGTGAAGACAATAGGCGTAATCCATGTACCTTCACATCAGTCTGTATTTGTGGCTGACACCAAACCAATCATATTACTATGAGCGGGAACCCAGGTGTATGCATATTCATTACATCACTTTCTTTCATTCTTTCATTCTTTCTTTTTTTTCTTTCTTTCTTTCTTTCTTTCTTTCTTTCTTTGCTGTTTTTATTTAGTTGTCTTCTCTCTTTTTTTCTAATTTTTCTCCCCTTACTTCTTTCAAGTTTGTCTCTATCCTTGCATTTTGGTTTTGTTTGGCTGATTTTTTATAGCGGTATATTGACCTATATCTACATATTTTGAATGCAATGTTATAGCTTCAACAAAAATATATATTTAACGCAATTGTATACACTTTCAATGTTAGATATTTTGTACATCATTTTATCCATTTTATCCATACAGGATTACCATATGTCTTACAGCTATATATCGTATGTACATTATCTTTTGTGGGTGAGACTTGTTGAGACAGTTTTTCTTTTTGTTGGCCAGCAGGGTTTTTAGTTAATGGATAGTTAACAGGGTTCCCTTACAAGGAACCAATGAAGATATACATTTAAATTTGTTATGGGAACTTACCCATAATAATAATGGACTCTACCAGACATTATAAATACTGCGCCTCTCAAGAGGTATGAGCATATATTGTAAGACGAGAGGGCACCTCGAGGTGGTGTAATGGTTAACAAGCTCGTCTCGCTTGAACTATTACGAGTAGTGAGTTCGATCCTCACTGGGTACCCCATACTTTCGGCCTTGTGCCACATCTGAGCTACGCTTAGAATATAAGGGAACCTCGAGGCGGTGTAATGGTTAACAAGCTTGTCTCGCTAAAACAATTACGACTGAGTAGTGAGTTCGATCCTCACTGGGTGTCCCTACTTTCGTCTTTGTGCTACGCTTGGAAAATAACTATATTGTAAAACGAGGAGAGATAATTGAGAGCATATTGTAAGGACATTGGAATAGTGATACTTGTCGAGACAACATAGTTCACTCTAACCAAATCTGATTGTCATTACTAATAATTCTACTTCTTTGTATTATATTTCTGTTGTAATATATCTTTGTATTCCATACCTGTGTTCGTGTTATTCTTTCATTGGTTCTAACCTTGGACCATCACCGTGGTACAAGGAACTTGGACCATAACACAATTTTAAATAAGTTGTGACTGATTGATTCTCGCCTTGACGAGCTCAGGTAGTTGTATTTTTTATCTTTTCATTAAGGAAGTTAGTTTACATATTCTGGCTTGGGTGCCCTTGGAGTCAACGGAGCGTTTTAACCGCTAAACACCATAGATAGTCTTTCGCGGACGATAGGCCAAAGGAGTTTTAGATTTTTAATTAGGTTAATTGACTCCCCGACCTCGAAAGTGTTTAGGTTTTTATTTCATTTAGCAAGAAAGCTGACATTAACTGAGTTTCGAACCTATATGACCAACTGATTTAATGTTGATTTAAGTTAACATGATATCGCCATCTGTTGGTTTTGTCTTTCCTTAACACTAAAGGTCTGCAGTATAGTATTCACAAATTTTTCAAGGTATTTGGCTTGTTTTATTTTCCTTTATATTAAGACCGTCTACTAAGGTATTGATTGAATGCATATCCGAAAGTTAAGAAAATCGTATTCTAATATGGCATTTAGCGTCGCGTGGAGTGAACTTTTTTAGTTTTTCGTGTTTTGAAAGGGAAACGACATAATATTGATGCATGCGCAGATGAGGCAATCCCGGAAATGGCGCGAAAATGGCGACGCTGACCTTATACCAGTAAATATTAGGTTGGTGCAAAAATAATGACGTAATAATATCGTTTTTGGACGTATTTTTTAACGTCAAAAAACGACAACATTACGTCATTATTTTTGCACCAACCTAATAGCATGCAAATCTCAATGCCATTATAAAAGTAATAACTAACACCTGATATATTTAGAGAATTTTTTTTCTAAAGGACATTATGGAGCAAATTATGGGAAGGGGAGGTGCCTGTTAAAAGTTCGGGATACCTTTTTTTTTTTTTTTTTTTAAGCATATCACCCCAAGCAAGGCGGGAGTGCCACAAGCACGCAAGGGGTGACACAGACTGAAAGTAAGAGTAAAGAGGGTTGTTTGAGAAAAGGATAAAGAGAAGGACGGGGGATCAATATCAAGACATTAGAAGATATCGATTGACATTACATTTGAATATTTGAAGATTATATTAGGTTGGTGCAAAAATAATGACGTAATAATGTCGTTTTCTGACGTACTTTTCTACGTCAAAAAACGACATTCTTACGTCATTATTTTTGCACCAACCTAATAGCTATCAAGAGAGCAAGTAAGAGAAAGGGAGTTCCATTGTTGGGAAGTGCTAGAGAAGAAGCTGTTGGAATAGAAGAGGCGGTTACATTTAACTATTTCGTGTGTGGGACCGAGATTCCAGCCTAGTAACACGTTTAAATTCACGCAGTTTGGGAACCAGTTAAGTTAGATCGTCAAAGCAGTTGCCATAAAAATATTTGTAGAAAAGACTGAAGGAATCCACCGCACGTTTGTGAGAAAGTAACTGCTGATGAGATGCCGGATCAGGACCTATAACATTGCATATCCGTCTCTGGATTTTGTCGAGGACCTAGAGGTGAACAGCGGGGGCACCAGACCATATATGGCAGCAACTGGCAGAACGAGTCTGATATTGCAATAAGCGAAATTCCTAATGAAGACAGGGCGTCATCACTGATGACCTTCACCGTTTCTTTTCAGAAATGTATTTGAAGAAGTGCTGTTATATCTGTTCGTATAGATCTATTTCTTTTAGTTAAAAAACATATCTTGGCGGTTTTATTATTTTCAAATAGTTTTCTCATGTTGTCTTTCTTGTAATATTTATGTCTTACTGAAAGCAGTTCACCAGTACACTTACCTGGGGTTTACCTTAACATCGGATGCCAAGATCGACAGGGAAGTATACAACAGACTGGCCAAGGCTAACAGCGCTTTTGGCAGAAAGAGTCTGGAACATCAAGCATCTGAAGAAGGCCAGCAAAAAATAGCGTCTATAAAGTCGTCATAATAACTACCTTGCTATACGGCTCTGATTCATGGTTAACCTACCGCCACCACCGGCGAAATATATATATATATATATGTGAAAATATATAGAAAATAGGAAGGAACTGGTTAGGTAAATAATCCAAAGTCCCTTAGTATTTTAGTTATTATTTTTAAAAAATAGTGCTCGATACAAAAGTAGAGCATAAATATAATTATTTATTTAAAAATATGATTCCAAATCGCTACATAAGAGGTCTTATGTTTCAAAACTAGAGCCGAAAACTTCAATATAATCCTTTAAATTAAATTGAGTTGAAAGTAAAAATTTCGCTTGAGGATGGAACGGAGCCCATTTTACTTTCAACTCAATTTAATCTAAAGGATTATATTGAAGTTTTCAACTCTAGTTTTGAAACACAGACATCTTATGTAGCGATTTGAAATATTTTTAAATAAATAATTATATATATATATATATATATATATATATATATATATATATATATATATATAGCTGAAAACAAGCATACAATATAATAACTTTTATAATCCATAGCCCAAATAAATAGTTTAAATACCCTACAAAAAAAATAACCCTTTATGAAGTCGTCTAAAAACAAATGTTACGGCAGTTTTTATATGCACAAATCCCTTTCATAAAGAAATAAAATAAAACAATAAATAAATCTCCATAGACACGTAAACCAGACTAGGCGAAAACATCTTCCGTTTCAAATTTAGACACGCCCACCTTACCCTGACTTGACATCTATGAAAGTAACTCTATACTGATACTTATTATTAACACCCAACACACCCCTACCTATTTTAAACAATCCACCCTGGCTGTTACCATGGAAATTTTGATTTCAATTATGAATATACTATTAAAACACGTAAATTTCAGAAATAAGTTATTCAAAAAAAAAAAATATCGCTTGAAGATGGAACAGAGCTTACTTTAATTCAATTTAATTCAAATAATTATATTGAAGATTTCGGCTCTTGTTTTGAAACATGAGACCTCTTATGTCGCGAGTTGGAATCATATTTTTAAATAAATATATCATATATATATATATATATATATATATATATATATATATGCGTATATTGTATAGGTTTTCGATTCACCAGAATACTTTTGAGTATTTTTTTCTTATTCTGACTTTTCCTAATCTTTCTTACCGATATATAGATGCTGCCCTCGTTACCCACACGGAAAGAGTCCTGCAGCGCCTAACATTCTGCTTTGCAGAGGGAGGCTGCCCGGCTCTTCTGACTCGAGATGTCCTCCACCAGCCTGCACCCTGAGAGGAGTATCGCCCTCCCTACATCACCATCGACGAGACTGAGATGGAAGCAGTTCGGCAGTGCACTTACTTGGGGTATACCTTCATATCGGATGCCAAGGTCGACATGAAGTAGACAACAGACTGACCAAGGCAAACAGCGCTTTTAGCAGACTCTACAAAAGATTCTGTAACATCAATCATCTGAAGAAGGACACCAAAATTAGCGTCTATAGAGCCGTCGTACTCACCACCCTAGTTGTATGGCTCTGAGTCGTGGGTAACCTACCGCCACCATCTACGAATCCTTGAGCGCTTCCATCAACACCCTCAACATTCACTGGAGTGATTACGTCAACAACATTGAGGTCCTCGAACAGGCGAAAATCACCAGCATTGAAGCCATGTTGCTGAAGTCACAGCTACTCTGGGCAGGGCATGTCTCCAGAATGGGAGATCATCGCCTACTCAAGATAGCCCTGTATGACGTACTCTCCAC